GCATCTCTCATCATTCTGGTCCCCCAATCCCTCCTAGTTCCCTATCACCTCTCACCTGGACTCTGCAATAGCCCTTTCAATACCTGCTGTCCATATTAATGGTGTGTCCTAATAGAATAACAAACTTACTTGCTTTCTTACTGCTGGCATTTTTTTTTTTTTCAAGTCCTGGGAATTGAACCCAGAACCTTCATCCTGAGCTATATCCCAAGCCCTTTTTTAAATTTTCTTATCTTTAGACAGAGTCTCACTAAGGTACCCAGGCTGGACTTGAATCTTTGATCCTCCTACTCAGCCTCTTACTGTTGAAAATTGAAGTCTACAGTTCTTCAAACATAATGCAAATGGTTATGCAGGGTCTCACTAAGCACCCACATTCTCATATCTCAGCTTTAATCTTAACTTTGGGTCATAACTACATTTTTAAAGGAAATAAGGCATTAAAGGTAGAGTTGATATGGGTATAGTGGTCTATACCTGTAATCAGCTATTTGGAAGGCTGAGGCAAGAGGATCACAAATTTAAGACTCTCCTAGGCAGCTTAGTGAGACCCTGTCTCGAAAAGGGCTGAGGATATAGCTCAGTAGCAAAGCTGGGTTTAATCTCCAGCACCACAAAAAAAAAGTAGAGTTGTACCTTTTCTGTAACTTCAGTTCCAGTAGAAGTAAACTTCAGTCTGTCTTGCACTGGCTACTTTTTATTCCTATGCTGACTTACTAACTTTACCACTTACCTAAACAGCCACATACACACCAATGTGTGTAAACCTTTCCCCTCTGTCATGTGTTGTGCTACTGAGCTACACCTTGATTTTTGTGCCCTGCTTTGTGCCTTTGATGTTAACATAGATACCTCTAGTTCTGATGTCCTTGTTGTTGATAGCATATGGCTATTTAGTGAAGTTGCCACAGTCTGGATCCCCCATCTCCCAGGAATGGACACCATTGCCATATTTTACTGTTTTAGACAAGGCCTCAATAGGAGCTGCGAGGAATATTAGGGAGTTCAAGACCAGACTGAACTACACAGTAGGACCGTATCTCAAAATAAAGAAATCTCAGTGAGGTGAAGTTGCCCAGGCATGGCTTAAACTTAGGGTCTGCTTCAGCCTCCTAACATTCTGGGAGGTGTGCACCACCACACCCAACTTTAGTCTTTTTTTTTTTTTCAGAAATTGTGTTAAGCACTAGGTGGAGTGGCACACACCTGTAGTCCCAGCATGCAGGAGACTAAAGCAGGAGGATCACCACAAATTTTAGGCCAAACTTTGCTAGTGAGTTCAAGTCAACTTGAACTATGTGGTAAGACCCTATCTCAAAAACAGCAATAATAACGGGGCTGGTGAGATGGCTCAGTGGTCTAAAGCACCTACTTAGAACAAGCTAAGCTAAGCAAAAACACAGGGACCGCGGTTCAATCCCCCAGCACCACATGCCAGCCAGCCCCGCCCCCTGGTGGGCTGAGCTGGCCACACACACAAAATGAATGAATAAATAAATAAATAATTCTTAAAAAAAAAAAAAAACCAGCAATAATAAAATATTGTTACATGAATTTTGATCATGACAGAATAATTCCATCATCCCCTAAGTAATCCCTCATGGTGTTTTGTAAACAGTCTCTGCTGCTCATCCTTGGCAATCACTGTGCATTCTGTCCCCAGTCTTAGCCTTTCTAGAATGTTGCATGAACTATACCTGCAAGCTATGGCCTGTGAAGTCCATGGCCAGGATCTCAGGCACATGTTGGACACTGAAGACAGAATAGCAATAAATCACTAGACATTTATGTTGAGTGGAGATCTTTATATAAACAATATATTCAATACCTTTCAATACAGGATAATAACTATTTTAAAAATTAAGAAAGAAAAGTCAGGGGCCGGGGAGATGGCTCAGTGGAATAAGCGCTTCTCTGGCAAGCGCCAGAGCCTGAGTTCAATCCCTGGTTCTGCAAAAAAAAAAAAAAAAAAAAAGAAAGAAAAGTCAAATTCATACTGTACTTGCTTAGCATTAGCCATGTGGTAGATTGGGTCCTCATGATGAGCCTATCTGCAGCTGCCACCTGAGATCAGGTGATCCAGGAAGTCCAGTCATTGGGGTTGATACTGTAGGCCAATGGAGGTGTCCCCTCCTCCAGATACTTTGCTGTGTTTTTTTGTTTGTAATTAATTTTTTCAGTTACATGGGTTGCTTTCATCCAAAGGCTCCACTTGTTTTGTTTTGTTTTTTTTTTCAAGAAAGCAAATATGCTTCCTCTCTGTTGATTACATTCTTATTTGTCAAGAGTCATATAGACTACCACTGCCCTCCCTACCCTGAGCCCTACACAGGATATATTGACAGATAATCAACTGTCAGTGGTTCCTGGAAAGCACTCTTTTTCTTTTACAGTACCGGGGATTGAACCCTGGGCTTCACACTGAGCATTATCTCAGCCTTTTTTATTTTTTTTATTTTAGGATAGGATCCCACTAAGTTACCCAGGCTAGGCTCAAAGTTGCAGCCCTCCTGCCTCAGCCTCTCAGAGTGCTGAGATTACAAGCATGTGTACCCTTGTCCACCTCTAATTCTCCAAAGAATGCTCTCCAGTGTCTTGCTCTGAGTGTTGCGTTCAGCATACCTTTATTAGGTCCATTTGCTGACTCTTCTGTCTATGCATAGCCCAAAAGCACAGGTGATTCTGTATACTGGACTTGAGATTGGGGCAGCATCTCTGCATGCCCTCATCCATCCATGATTGAACTGCCTCCCAGGAGGTACCCTGACATTAGGCTGCCCCAGCAAATTGCCAGTGTGTCCCTTCCATGTGTTCCAGACAGTTCAGGGCCCAGACAGGGTTTTGGTCTTCTGGCTTTTCTCTTTGTCTGTGGTCACAATCGGGGGCTCCTTGAGTGAACCCTCCCCCAGCTCTTCCTTGGCTAAAAGGCATGTGAGCAGTGGATATGTAATGCCTGGGTGAAGGGACTTGTGGCCACTCTGCTCTTTGGTGAGATCTGCCCACACAGGCACTCACTCAGAACAAAACAGGGAGGCAAAAAAAGCAGCTGGCACCAAGTGGTTTATTAGCCAGGCAGCCATGATTTCGACCTTGCTGTGGGTTAAAGGACACAAACCTGAGAAGAAATCTGTTTATCATGTAGGGAATTCATGCCATCCTTGACAGTAGATGGTGAGGAAGATGGATGATCTGCCAAATTGGTCCCTCGCATGGGTGAATCAGGGCAAATTTACAGTATAATTCCTTTGCTGCTTCAGATACAAAAACAACATTTGCTGAGTTTTATATCCAGTTGTCTGTTGACCCGGGGGTGAACAGAGAGAAGAAATCTGATTTGTAGGATTCATATTGCCTTAAAGATTGATACGGACCATTTCTGCCTTTCACATTTGTCTCTTTTACATCTCTCATACACCAGTCTGGCTATTCTTTTAACCTGATTTTCCAAGCTGAGGACACACCTCATGCAATAGTGGGACTTTGTACCAGTGCAAGACCATAAAGGGGTTTATTGAGTTGAACTGCAGTTGTTTTATTTGGGGTTTTGCTTTTCTCAGTGTTCATATAAAATATTCCTTATATTTAGAATATATTTCTCACAGTTTGTAGTTCAAAATAGGTTATTATCCTAAATCTGAAATATCTATCAAAGCACACTTAGATACATAGTAAATGGAAATTAAATTCTTCTCCACTGTTACATTTTTCCCTTTAGCTGGATAACAGTATTTTGGAGCACCTACTAATGTACTGATGTTACCTAGGAACCTTCTAGGGTGTGAGGGAGCAACAAGAAAAAGATAATCCCAAAGATCTGCCCTCTGTGACTTATCATCTCCCTGCAGCTAGAACCTAGCACTCTGGAGCCCACATGAACACACTTGACCCTTATTCATGGCCTACAGGGTCTCACCATGTGCCAGCCTCAGTGGGAGTAGGAAGAGATTGTGCCTGGCACTGAGTTGAATCACAGGCACATTGGCCTTGTGAATGAGAACTCAGCGCCAGGTCACTACTCATTGCCCTCCTGGGCAGTCTTTCTCTAGTATTGGCAGTGAAGAAATAGCCAGAGATACCTCAAAAGCAGACTTAAGTGTGTCTTATGGTTTTGCAGTGATGCTGAAGACAGGACAGGGGTAATGCTCACTGACAGAAGACAGGGTAGAATTTCCTATTGTGCACTTACAGTGACCTCAGCAAGCAAAGGCACTTGTGAAACAAGGAGCCTGAGGATACCTGGTGGCCCACCTAATCCTCTTCCAGTGTCATTTACAGCATGGTGTAAATGATAAAAAAAAAAGAGCATAACCTTCCAAAATGACTTTTTTGCAGTGCCAGTGAGCCCCGAAGCTTGGTGCAGAGTACCCGCCTTGTCTTTAGTTCCCCCTCTCTTCTCTGGGGTTGGGTGCTGGGGACCCCTGTGGCATCCCAATGTTAATCAGTCCTGGGCCCTGAGCCCTGAGTCACACTGGGCCAGCCTGGGGCAGCAGCTAAGAACTCAGATTCAAGGGCCTTTATCACTGTGGTAATTATGCATCATAGGCAGTTGCAAATAATCTGCCCATTCTTTTTTATCTGGGATGGACAAAATAACTGTGCAAGTTATAATTTAGCCACACACCTTGTGAGTTATGAGAATTACGGGGTTTTCTTAAAAGAAATGGTGACACTGGTAATACATGATTAATATGACAGATTTTTTTTAATAGCATACTTTGATATTAAGCCTTCAGAAACCTTTTTTTTTTTCCAGAAACCTTCTATCTAATTCTCTAGTTGGCTTTTTTTCTTCCTAGTAGTGTTATTTTTGCTCATTTAACACAGAAAATTAGAGGTTACTCTCAGTCAAAAAAAAACAAAACAAACTATAAAACAATGCATGAAGATCCATAGAAGACCACACAGTCTCCTTTGGAACAGGCTGTTTAATTAGTATTTCCTAGAGAAGGAAAGTTGATATACATGGTGAAAGATAACTATTTTCATGTGTTTAATTACAGAAAGTACTCCAAAGACCTCTGCAAGCTGCAGCCCTGCCCCTGAGTCCCCAATGAGTTCCAGTGAATCTGTGAAGAGTTTGACTGAGCTGGTCCAGCAGCCCTGTCCTCCCATCGAGACCAATAAGGATGGCAAGCCACCAGAGCCCAGCGACCCACCAACTTTGGACTCCCAGCCCGCAACCCCACTGCCTCTCTCTGGGCACTCAGCCCTCAGCATCCAGGAACTTGTGGCTATGTCTCCAGAGCTGGACACTTACGGCATCACCAAGAGAGTCAAGGAGGTGCTGACAGATAACAACCTTGGTAGGTCCATCTCAGCTGCTAGGTCAGAAGCCAACAAGTCATTTCCTCTTTGAGATCTCAGAGTAAAGGGAGCTTCAGGCAGAGCCAGCCAAAAGGTTTAAGTTCTAGCCAAACTAGGCATGATGGTACATGCCTCTAACCCCTCTGGGAGGTTGAGGCAAGAGGATCCTAAGTTCAAAGCTAGCCTGGGCAATTTAGCACGGTCTTGCCTCAGAACAATAAAAAAGTTGGCACATATCTTAGCATGAAGGTCCTAAGTTCAATTCCAAATACCATCCCCCCAGGAGCCAGGAGATAGCTCAGCTGTCTAAGCACCTGCCTGGCAAGCACAAGGACCCAGGTTTGATTCCTGATACCACATACATGCCATCCCTGCCTCAGGCATGCTGAGCCAGCCACCAAAACTGGGCATGGGGGCCGGGGAGATGGCTCAGTGGAATAAGTGCTTCCCTGGCAAACGCAAGGACCTGAGTTCAATCTTGGTTCCACAAAAAAAAAAAAAAAAAAAAACTGGGCATGGTGGAACACACCTATAATCCCAGCTCTGTCTGAGCTGCATAGTAAGACCCTGTACCAAATACATAAATTAAAAAAAAAAAAAAATTCCACCCTCCCCAAAAATAAAATAGTTTCAGGTATGTCCAGCCTGTGGGCCACAAGTTGGACACACCTGCCTTGCCTATGTCACATTTAATGAAAGGGAACTGTGTTAGGCCACATATAAAATATATAACATAGTTAATATGTAAAACAAACAAAACTTCCTTTACTGTTTATATTTTTTATTGAAACTGGCACATTCAACGTACAGCCCATAAGTTAGACACACCTGCTCATTTCAGGCTTCTTATAAGGCTCATTTCAGACACTTCTTTATGGGCCAGATGTGGTGGATCACACATTCAAGCTCAGCCTAGGCAATTTAGTGACTTAGTGAAAAGCTTGTCTCAAAATAGAAGATGGACTGGGGGATCCAGTAGCTCATTAAAAGGTGCTGGGTTTAGTCCTTAGTGTTACAAAAAAAAGCAAATCCTGGGACTGGGCCATATCTCAGCAACAGAGCACTTGTTGAGCATGTATAAGACCCTGGTTCTATCCAGCACCGAAAAAAAAGAAAGAAGGCAACATTCTATAGCTGTGAACACTGAGGGATCATAAGGGAGCCACAGCCCTACAGGTCCATCCCAGCTCCCTCTGCACCTGTGCATGCCCCTGCTTAGGACCCCCATGAAGATAGGCTGTGGCCCAGAGCACATGAAGGGTATCAAGGCACAGCCAGCAGAGCTCTAGACCCATGGTGGGTACCAGCATTGGGCAGGACAGCTCAGCCTCACAGCATCCAGTGGCTTTGTAGAGAGGTCCAAGCAGCTCTGCTCTACTCATTGTACCTGGGTGTGGAACCCACTGCTTGCACACCTGTGCCCCCTCTGGGAGGCTGGGGTGATGGTGCCTGTGGCGGAGAGATGAGTAGTGGCAGTTCTGGCCCCTGGTGACCCTTCAGGATTAATATTATTGTTTCTACTGCCTCATGAAAATGGGCACCCCTAGAAGACAGTGTGTCAGGGCTGGAGAGATAGCTCTGCAGTCTAAGTGCCTGCCTGGCAAGCACAAGGACCTGGGACAGATCCCCAGTACCCCATGCCATGCTGGTCACAAACTCCTGGGCATGCCTGGCTGGCCACCGAAACCAGTTGTGGTGGCACATGCTTATTATCTCAGTGCTGGGGAGGCTGAGACAGGAAGATCACTATGAGTCTGAGCTGCATAGTGAGACCCTGTACCAAATAAAAAATAAACACATTATTTTTTTTTTGTTGTTTAATTTAGAAAACAATATGTCACCTTCCTGTGGTGTCACACCCAGGCTGTTTGCCTGGTATGTGCTATGTTGTCACTAGACAACAGTTGTGGCCCTAAGAGTGTTGTGGTATTTTGTCATTTCACACCACCATGGCCCCTGCAGTGCTGTATTGACCTTACAGGGCTGACCTGGGCAGAATGCAGCAGAGGGAAGCAGCCAGTCTCCAAGTCCTTGTGTCCTTATTTCCCGGGTGGACATATCAACATGAAGAACAGCATCTATGGCTGCAAGCCATGCTGAGACACCTGCAGAGGAACTGGAATTACCCAGGCCTTTGGGGCTGATGTGTCTGTTGTCCTTCCCAGGGAACAAAAAGGGAGTAGCAGAGTTCCCATAAAGCCTGCCTGATGACCTATAGCCTGGCTCAGGCCAACTTAATTTGGTTGAGGCCTCCCCCTGTATATACTTTGTGTAGTCCATTGTCCAAACCAGCACAGAAAAAGTAGTGTCAATGAATAAATTTTTAATTAAAAAAAGTATGTGTGGTAGCACATACCTGTAATCACACATGGATGGAGTGGCCACAGGGTCTCTTGTCAAAGGAAGTTGGCTATCTGTGCCTCAGGACACCATGCTCTGGATATCTCAGAGGCCTAACCACTGGCCTCTGGTCCCAGTCTCTGTTTTCACTTAATAAGTCCTGTTAATTCAAGCTCTTCCATTAGGTCTTTTGTGTTATCACAGATTCTTACAGCTTTAAAAGCAGTGGCCTGCTTCACCTACAGCACAGTGGCTCTCAGAGAATCAAGCCTTTCTTTTAAGCCTCCAATGAGCATTATAGACTCAGCGCTGCCATGCTCCTCACAGTCCAGTGCCCTCTGATCAACCCAGGAAGCAGGCTGCTTGCTCTGCCTGGAAGAAGAAAGGGTACCCAGGAAAGGGGTTTGATGCACTCAGAGCTGCACTCAGCAAAGTCAGCACAGACTAGAGGAGCAGCTTGAATTGGAAATGGCTCCCTTTCAACCACAGAGTGGGAAGCAGTTGCCTACTATTTCCTGCTGTGACCCTGGGTCAGGTGCCCTGTTTTCCCAGCAAGACCTGCAACCTTGCTAATCATAAAAGGACCACAGAGAGCCTCTGGTTAGGGGCTGCCTGGAGAGGTCTCCACATGCTTCTTCACCTCCAAACCTGCACTTAGGGATAAAACTGCCTCTGAGGAAAAACTTCATATGAAGTAATGCCATGCATGAATGTAATGCCACCTGCCTCCCCAGTAGGGCAGCTGACAGTCTGTCTAAAGAAGTATTTGGGAGCTGGGATGTGACTCAGTAGTAGAGCACCTGGCTAGCATGCAGGAGGCCCTGGGTTCATTTATCAGCATTGGGAGGGAAAAAAATGTTTCTACAAAAGGCTTGCTCTGATACAAGTCCCCAGTGGCCATATTCTAGATCATTCCAGCCCTGTGTTTGATTGTGTTTTGTTTGGGGTTTGTTTGTTTTTGAGACAGGGTCTCACTAAGCTCCTAAATTGCTCAGACGGGGTTCAAACATGGAATCCTCCTGCCTCAGCTTCCCAGAGTGCTGGAACTATAGACTTGTGTCTAATTTTACCCTCTCAGATCGCTGCCTCTCAGTGATTATTTCTTGGATCTGTCTTCTCAGGTCAGCGTTTATTTGGGGAGACAATCCTGGGGCTCACCCAAGGCTCTGTATCTGACCTCCTTGCCCGCCCAAAGCCCTGGCATAAGCTCAGCCTAAAGGGACGAGAGCCATTTGTCCGGATGCAGGTGTGGCTCAATGACCCCAACAATGTGGAGAAGCTGATGGACATGAAGCGGATGGAGAAGAAAGGTGAGTGTCCACTCTCTACCCAGAGGTATGCCTCTAAACTGACAGACCAAACATTTCCTTATGTCTTCCACACGGGGTCAGGGAAGACACTGATCCCTGACCAAGGCACTATGAGGCAGACAAAGGGTCTCAGATAGCATCAGCTGACATGAACCTTAGAGACCTGGGAAGATGCATCACTTACTGCCCAGCAGCTTGAATAGAAACATCTCTTAGTACTACAAGCAGAGCAGAGTGGCTGCTTGTTTGCTGTTGCTCATCCTCTACCATGTCATTGAGGTGTCATAGCATCTATTGTTCAGGTACCTGTGCAAGAGGCTTTCAAGTATTGCTGGAGAGCTCACTGAGAAATCCATTTAATCAGGTGTGGTTTGCACATGGATGTAATCCCAGCACTCGGGAGGCTGAAGCAGGAGGATCACCTCAAGCTCAAGACCAGCCTGGACTGCATAGTGAGACCCTGCCTCAAAAAACCGAAGGGGGGGTACAGCAATGCATTTAGCAGATCTGGAAACTCAGGTTCAGAGAGGTTAAAGGCTACCCCTCAGGTCACCCATCCCTCTTCCATTTAGTTTCTGGCCTCTTGGGGAGAAGCTATATAGGCACCTGGGTGCAGTCTCAACTGTAGCTGGTTTCCTTCCCATACCCTGTCAGCCATAGCACAGGAAAAAGTCCAAAGAGGTGGCTGGACATGGTGGCACACACCTATCATCCCAACACTTGGGAGGCTGACAAAGGAGGGTCACTGAGTTCAAGGCCAACTTGAACTAGAGTGAGCCCCTGTCTCAAAAACAGAAAGTCCAAAGGGGAAGCAACTCAATAGAGAAGAGCCATGTCTGCTAGATGACATGGTTTGTAGTTCCTGAATGCTGGTTCACTCCATAGGTCCCCTGGCCCCCCTCAGTGCCAGCTGTGACCACCCTCCCTGAGCAGCTCATGGAGAGGACTTAATGCAGAGTGACCATAGAAGTGGCCCTGCAGCCCAGTGGTTCTGCCTGTCCCTACCCTAGGACACCTGAGCTGATGGGTCAGAACCCAGGATATGGACTAGGAGAGTCTCTAGCCAAGCACATTGTTCTCACGCAAACCAGGAAAGGAGTCCAGAGCTGGAGTCCCCAGTGCCTGCTCCCTGGCTTGGGCCTTTTATAAAAGAAGGGGATCTCCCAGCTTCCTGTTTATCAGGTACTGTGCTGACACCTCACTTAATCCACACTGTTGTAGCCAGCATAGATGCTAGCTCCAGTAAAGATGCCCTGGGCCTTCAGAAACTGATCTGAAGCTGACATGACCAGAGCATGCATTAGCCACAGAAATTCCTGGCACCAAGCTGTGCTCTTACATATACTGAGGGCCTGCCATGCAGGGACCCTGGGCACAGTGTTACCCACTTGTGATAGGTCCAGTCAGTGACTTCCACCCATTGAAGGCCCTTTGCCCAGCTCTGGCTTGTCCCAGATGAGTTCATTGAGGCCCTGACACAAGCCTCAGCCCCTTGGGCAGCTCCATGCAGTGTCACAGACTTCATAGGCCTTGTGCCTTGTCATTTCCTAACTTTTGTACTGACTGTAGGAAGTTTCAAAGATAAACAAAAGAATTAGGAAGAATGGCACCAAGAATCCAATGTTCCCATTGCTGAGTTTCAAACAATGTCGGTCCCCTAGAGAGGCAGCAGTATCTACCACAGTGTGCTTGTGGTACACTGCTCACAGTGTACCTGCTCACAGTGCCAGAGAGCACCTGGCACCTCCAGAGCAGCCCATCCCTTCTGATACCCTAGATCACTGATAAAGGATCCTGTCCCACAGGCAGATTTGCAGAGACTTCCCAGTATGCTGTACTTCTTTCCACATGGGCTCTGGTGCCATCTTGTGTCACAGTAGTCACTATCTCTGCTGGGCCAGGCCTCCCAACATCCCAGGTCCCCTCTAACTTCCCATGTCCTCTGCTAACTGGAGAAGCCTTTGCAAGCTCCTTTAGTCACACCACAGGGGCTGGAACCCAATCTTTCCCTCAGCTCCTAGGCAGCCCTCTGTGGGAAGGAGGGTCTCAGCACCAGGCAGTCTAGTTCCTTTGTCTGGTCTTAGACTAGACTATAGAACCATATTCATTTTCCCTTGGGGAGATTGGCCTTCTTGACTGTTTCCTAGTTCTAAAAATAAAATGACAAGTAAGTAATTTTGTATCCTAAATTCCTACCTTTGAAAATGATAATAAAAATGCTAACTTCTATAGGTCACAAGGCTTTTCATTCACTTTTTCTCTACTCTGCCATCTACTTTTCTGTTCCTATTATGAGGGGTCCTTGAACACACTGTCTGTGCATTCTGTGTTATGCATCTGTACACATTCACATGGCACAGTGCCTTGGTGGCCCAGGATTGGCTCTTGCAATCTAGCCTGCTCCCTAACGTGGTTAGAGACCTGAGTGTGTGACTGCCAGCTCTCTGTGGCTCCCAGAGACATTGACTGAGGCTACTCCCATGCTGCAGCCCTGTAGGGCCAGGATTGGACCTGACCACCACCAGACAGGACAGCAGCCCTGCCCCAGCAGACTTAGATCAGACCTCAGTCCCCTCATCTACCTGCTACATGACCCCAAATGAAACCTTGGGGATAATGGCCCGGAGCCTCCTGGAGCATGACTAAGGACTTACTGGTTAACGTCAGCTGAAGTTGCTGATACAATGCTAGGGGCTCGTTTTGCCTCTTGCCCCTTCAGTTTAAGCTCACTGTGTTATATGTTCCATCTCTCAAAGGAGCTGGTAAGAAATTTCTTTTTCAACTGATCCAGGAATTTCAGACCATATTCCCAATTCAGCTCATTAGGAATTGCAGTGAGGAGCATTCCTCTGTGAAAGCAGCCCATGGCTTTGGACTTGAAGCCTGGTAGGCAACAGCAGTGTACCCTAGAGCCTGAGCTCCAGCAGACCCTATCCCTGTGTCTTCAGGCGGGTCCCCAGGCAGCAGCACTCCCCCAGCCCCCATATCTCTGAACATTGTCATACCTCTACCACCTTTTTCTCCACCCCTGACTGCAGGAAAAGGACATGTAAGCCACAGGCCTTTGCTATGGTCCTTCCAATACCTCCAAGCAGGCCACGTGTTTCCCACAGGCCAGGACCTTACCCCAGACTGTTCTCCCTGGTCAGCACCCCATTGTCTGGAAGTGCCCCAACAGACTGAACTTTGTCATATCCCCTTTCTGCCTCCTCCATCCACCAGACCCTTGCTCTGCGTCCACACCAACCTCTGCCTACCCAGAACACTTGACAGAAACATTCAGCCTTCTGTCCCTGAGTTGTATTCTCTGAACCTGACTCTCACCCCATACTACTCTACCACCTGCATCTTAGACTTAGGTACTGACCTCCCTGACCATTGTACCTTGGCATTCCACTTCATTCCACCTTACCTAGGACAACCCTAGGCTCTTGACAGCACCCAGACCTCAGCAGCCCCTGACACCATAGCCTAGCCCTGCCTGCCCTCTCTGCCCATATGCCCTTTCCTGGCACCCCACACCACAGCCACACTTTCATCCTGTGGGTGTGGTGCTCCTGTCTCCCACATCTTGCCACTCTTTCCATTCATGCCCCAGCCATTCTTTACCCATCCTCTTGGACTCCTTGGTCCATGCTGCCTGGGCTGGTGCTGCCTCCATTTGGTACCTCCAGCTTCTGTGGAGCCCCTAGTACTACGCCTCAGTCCTGACCAGCCCTCCCTATATCATACCCCAAGACTTCTCTCAGATTCCTTCCTCCCACCTTCTTGCATCATAAAGACAGGGAAGCAGTGGCCCTGCCTCCCTCCAGCCCCATTCCCACTTAGGATCCATCCTCACATACCATGACCCAGCTTATGTACCACCAGCACTAGCCCTTTCTCTGCCATCTCTTCCCCTCAGCCCAGAAGCAGTTTCTGCTCATTCTTGCCTGTAAATACCCACACTTAGCTAGCTGTGGTGGTACCCATCTGTACTTCCAGCACTCTGGAAATCTGAGGCAGGAGGAGTGTAAGTTTGAGCCCAGCCTAGATGACTTAGCAATTTAGATCCTGCCTCATAATAAAGATAAATAAAAGAACTTGGAATGTAGCTTAGTTGTGGAGACCCTGGATTCAATCCCCAGTACTATAAAAAAGAAAACAAACAAATCAAAAAATATGTTCAGCACCAGGTTTCTCCCCAGAATCCATCCTATCTTTTACTATTGATCTGGTTTCTAAACATAATTCATGCCCATGACCTTGACCTCCTCCTCTCTTGTAAACATTCAGGTTTTGCTCCCACAGTGCCACAGTCTGCTCACCGAGATCCCCAAATCTTCAGTTCTCCCATTGTCACTAGATCCTAAAAGTTATCCTGGGGCCCCAGGACAGTGTTCTTTATGCAGCCATTAACACTGCTCACCATCCCTCCCTCAAGGTGTCCTGTCCCTTTTGGAATACCACAATCCCCTGTCTTTCCTCTTGTCCCTCTGGCTTTCAGGGCTTCTCCCCGGGGGCAACCCAGTGTAGTGGTACTTCCTAGATTGCCATTTTGGCCCTTCTCATTTGTGTCAGGACCATGGTTGCACTGTCTGTTCTTTTGCCTCCCTGATTTCTCTCTGGCCCAGACCATTCTTCTGAGCTCCTTCATTTCTACCCATGGGCCACAGGGTACAAGTCAGGTTTCCTGTCTCACAGCTGCTCCCACCACTCCCATCCTCTGCACCCATGCACACAGACACGCTTTCCCACCTTCTTCATACAGTCCAGGTGAGCAGCCCCTGCCTCCTCCTGCCTCATGGCCTATCTCCTGGTTAACCCCTCTTTCTACAAAGATACACTCTAAGCATCTTCTTTTCTGGGAATCCCCCTCAAGCTCCACCCCAGGCCAGGTCCTGGCTCTCCCTCGGTGCTCCTCCACAGTGCCCCAAGTCTGCCTCCCCGTGGCACACCATTGTGCTTTTCCATCTCTACACCCACTGAATGTCAAGCTGTGCAGCAACAGCAGGCACCCTATGTAACTGACCAGGGTCTCATTGTGTGTGTGCTGGGGACAGCAGGATTCCTAGTGCAGGTGTTTTTTGGCTTGATTTCATATGGTTTGGTTTAGGGGAGCTTTTTGACTCAGGGCCCTGCTATGTAGCTAAGGCTGACACTGAACTATTGATCCTCCTTCCTCAGCCTCCTAACTGCTGAGATTATAGGCATATATCACTACATCTGGCTAAGTGTAAATATTTTGAGATGCAGATATAACTTTAAAGCCAGGAGTGCTGACACATACCTATAATCCCAGCAGTCTGGGACCCTGAGGCAGGAGGGTTACTAGTTCAAGCCCAGCCTGGGCAACTCAGTGATTTGAAATAAAAAAAGAAAAAGGGCTAGAGATGTAGCTAGGGGCAAAGGCCCTTCATTTAATCCAGTACTTTAAAAAGAAAAGAAAAGGAAGGAAACTAACTAACTGCAGGCCACCAACACACCACTGTGCTTGCAGGGACCAGGGGCTTTCTGCCACTTCCTAGCATGGCATCAATCTCACCCTGCTCTCTCTCCTCCACAGCCTACATGAAGCGGAGGCACAGCTCAGTCAGTGACAACCAGCCCTGTGAGCCCCCATCTGTGGGCATTGACTACAGCCAGGGCGCCAGCCCACAGCCACAACACCAGCTGAAGAAACCCCGAGTGGTGCTGGCCCCTGAGGAAAAGGAAGCCCTGAAACGAGCCTATCAGCAGAAGCCATACCCATCCCCTAAAACCATTGAGGAGCTCGCTACCCAGCTCAACTTGAAGACCAGCACCGTCATCAACTGGTTCCACAACTACAGGTACGATGCTGCCACCACCTGGAATCCCCTACTCTAGGAGCAGGCTGGGCTGCACCAGGGTCAGTGGCCACACACAGTACTTGGGAACAGTGCTCTGGGCCTGGCTGCAGCACTTACGGCAACTAAGAGCCTGCATATGGCCAGTTAGTGGGGACCCCCCTTGGAGTTTTTCTCTAGAGACGTAGGGTCAGCTGTGCTCCCTCAGTGTCCGGTAGTTAGCAGCAGTCCGTGTTTTCCATGCTGATCCAGTCCAGAAATCACCTCCGAGCTACACTGGAATCAAGGAGCATATAGACGTCTGTGGCCCAACACTAATTCTATAGTGACTGTGTGATCCGTTCTCAGGAGTCTTTTATAGTATTGTTTTCTAAAGTAATTTATTACTTTATAATTAAATCATTTAATAGCCTTCCTTTTGGGAAGGTTCATAAATTAAAACAAGATTCCTTGAGCGTCTGCTGGTTTGTTTTAGCCAACAGCACAGTGCTTGCTCCTTGTAATTCCCAGCCTGGATACAGTGGCATCTTCATCATATCGGAGGCAGCAGACAACACAGAGGGCTTGAGCGCCTCTCCTACACAGAACCCAGAAGAGCGCAGGGTGCTGACTCAGTCTTAGCTGTAGCCAGACTCCCTGCTCTTGGCAGCCAGGAATCACAGTAGCCCAGTGGCCATTCCCTTGTTAATGCCAAATTAAAACTGGGGTAGGTGGTCCTGGTTAAAGCCAGTTGGCACATTTTAGACCACTGCAGGTAGAGGCCCTGGCAACTGCTCACCTCTAGTAAATGTCACAGAGCCCACAGATAGTTAAGGGCCCCAACGGAGGATACTGTATCTCTGATTGGATGCTTTCCATTTGCAAGTTCTGGTGGAGCTCCCCCAGATTATGAAGAAATGGGAAAATTTTAAATGTTAGATGGCAGCCAAGCCACCCCCTCACTACCCATAAAGGCTGAGTTAATCAGTGGCAGCTCAGGACAAGGTTTGAAGGGACTTGGCACCAAGCAAAGTGTTTCATCAAAGCATCACTATCCCCCAGAAGCCTCGCTGTGCAGGCTGGCTCCTTAGCAGACAAAAAGGGCACTGGAGCTGGGCACACCAGCTTGTTTATCCCTTATCAACAGTCAGATGGAGCAGGCAGAGGGAGGCTAGCAGTCAGGGTCAGAGTCCCTGTCCCTGTCCCAGTCCCAGTCCCTGTCTGAAGGACACATCAGAGTAGGAAGTAAAGTGAAGGAGGGTAAACATAAATGGGGGCCAGGTTCACCAGAATGCCGACTGGCCAGGCACCGGGCAGTCCTTTTGTCATACTCTAGTGACAGAGATGTGTTAGAACATGTGCTGCAAATTGTGCACTTTCAGGAAAGTACTGTGACTCTCACTGTCACTCAGAAGCACATGGAGCTCTAGAGTTCTGAGGGTCTGAACATAGGCTGCTGATCGTGTAGATCATACCCAGACCATTCTTCCTCCTGGCCAGGACATCTTCCATTGTATTTCCCACCTGCTGTCCCTTGTCTTGCTCACCTCTGACAACTACAGTAATCCCCACTGCCTGGAAGCCAGCCCATCATTATAAAGATATTTCTTAGGCATTTAGCACAAGCAAATTCAACTTTCTACTCTTAGAAAAAAATATGTAGAGGAGAGGGTAGAGAAATAGCAGTACTGCCTCTACATTGAGCAAATGAGCCAAGGGTGGACCCTCCATCTGTAACAACAAAGGCGAGCTACGTCAAATGGGAGAATAGGCCTTAGGTGCAGAGATCAAAGCTATCAAAGACAAGGGACGAGACAAACAGGACTAGAAAGGAGAATTAAACTAGAAATGAACTCAATGAGCAACAAAAGAGGGCAAATGAGAAGTGTACACAGGGTCATTCAGGTGTAGCTCAGTGGCAGAATGCATGTTTAACATATGGAAGATCCTCACTTTGATTCCCAGCACCCAAATAAAATAAACTAGTTGATTTTAAAAACAACCAGAACCATTCCTGGAACCTCATCTTGCTACATGGAAGAGAGTATTCCTCATGAACATGGAGACAAGTCCAGGCTAAAAAGGATGAGTCTCCTCTCTGCTGAGTACATCTTACATGCTAGACTTTGGGCCACAAGTTTTTATAGCTGTAACAACTCATTTAATCCTCCAGCCAGCACTCAAGCAGTGAAGTATTTTACAGAAAAGGGTGGGTAGAACCTCAGGCCCAGTGCCCCGGGCCCAGCCGTGTCTCTTACACCTCCATAAGTGCTAGAAGCCAGCATTCGCTTATTCCCAAAGCAGCTGGGAATAAGGACAATGACTTATTCTTCTCTACTTTGTACCCAATATTATACATTTAATATTTTATTTAATCTTGATAACATTTCTGCAAGGAAAATACTGTCCTCCATGTTTTTCAGACAAGAAACTTCAAGTTCGAAAGATCAAGTCCGAGTTGTCCAAGTTGCACAGATAATAAGTGGCAAAGCCAGTTTACAGACCCCAGACTCACCTTGCTCCAAAATGCCCCTAGTCTGTTTGAACCTGGCTAAGACCATGTGTGAGTCTGCTCCTCCCAAGGGGCAAGACTCAGAGGGATCTCACAGGCATCCCTATTGCCAGAGGCTTAGCAGGACCGCCCTCCCAGCACATAACCAAGGAGTGATCATAGAAGCTGCCATTTCCCAAGATCACCCCAGGGAGGGGAAACAGCCTTGTTATCCCTGGGAACTTTGAATAGGATTCTCGGGACCCCTCCCAACCACCACCTTTCTCAACAAAGCTCAGAAATCTTCACAACAAGGTTCTAAGCTCACTCTGTGCAGGAAACAAGTATCTATGAAACATTAACAACCACTCCCAGAATTCTGAGGACCTAGATCAAACCACAACTGTCTTTTCCCTGGCCCCACACTGCCCACAGCCAGCACACAATCTGACTATCAGAAGACTCTTGAAAAAAAAAAAAGACTTTTGAAAAGCATTCCATTTATTGATGATACCCACCTCAGACAACATTCTCACGTACACCAAGTCCTAAGGCTTTGTGCCAGGCCTGGTGCTGACTTGCCCAAAGATGCTTTTCCACCAGAGGACATGTGCACATTACCAAAGGTTTTCTCAGCTCTTGGAAAGCAATACCTAGAGAGGTGTTTGAACCTGGTACTGTGAGCTGGTCAAGGCCTCTGAGGCATCTTCCTTTCTTAAAAGGGAGAGTATATTCCCCATGAGCCATAGATAGCAGTGTCTGTGCAGAGTATCACAGCGCATTTCCCACTGTAGGCTGGACACAGCTGAATTAAAATCTGCTTGATGTATTGGAACATATTACTAGTCTTCTCCCTGCTTGGTCCAGTGACTCTTCTTCCCTGGAGGAAGGAATTGTAAAAATATATATATATACACACAATTTGGTGGAGTCCTACTGGAAGCCCTCCGTGGTTCAGAGGTAGAAGTCAAAGATTTCCACTTTGGACACTGGCCAGTAGTTGGTTCTCTTGCAGACACCACTGATGAGGACCCCGTGATTTTTTTTTTTTTTTTCGGTGACACCGGAGATTGAACTCAGGCCCTTGTGCTTGCCAGGCGAGCACTGATTCTACTGAGCCATCTCTCCGGCCCCTAGGACCCCCATGATTACCACACAGATCCGTTTATTAGTTCAGCCAGCAGCATATATACTATACTGAGAGCACCAAGCCAGGTACACAGAATAAAAATGACCTTACCTGCAGTCTGCTTGGGCCTATAGTGGGGCAGTGATGAAAAAAATCTGATAGTCTAAGTATGTAGAATAATCAAATATATGGTAATTTTTTTAATTTATTATTGCTTTTATTTCCTTCAAAACACCCCCCCACTTCAAAAACACTTATTAGCTCATCATTTTTGCTACTTCATAAGTCTAAGAGGTGTAATAAAAAAATATGGTAAATGCTGCTGTCGTCCATCAGAAAGGCAGGCTCATAAAAGCATTATGGTACATCCTCATCCACCTCCTTGACTGGGTCTGGCAAGGTGTGACTTCTGGCCCTTTCCCAAAGTCAAAATGACCATGAAAGTAAACCATCAATTTATTTATTTATTTTTTTTACTTTGAATCATTTTAGGATATAGAGGCAGCCATGATAGCACAACTAAAGACATGAAAGAGGACTTCCAGAACTGCTTCAGAAAGTGGCAAGGAGGATAGATTAGTGTGTTCAACGCAAGGGGGGAGAGGATAGTATTTGGAGAAGGGACTTACAGCAGTATATCCCTTACTGTAATCATTCTTTTTTTAGTTTACACATTCACCATATTTTTGTTACTGCTATGTGCCTGTTGGAGAGAAGGGTTTGACAAGCACCTCAACTCTAAAACCAAAGAAGGGCAGCAGGCACAGGGAGAGCCTGGCCATGCATTGTGAGGGCCTTACACCTGTCCCACTTCTGTCCCCTGCAGGTCTCGGATCCGCAGGGAACTATTCATTGAGGAAATTCAGGCCGGAAGCCAGGGCCAGGCTGCCGCCAGCGACTCACCATCCGCCCGGAGTGGCCGCGTGGCACCGAGCTCAGAGGGTGACAGTTGCGATGGCGTGGAGGCAGCCGAGGGCCCAGGCCCCACCACCACCACCGACAATGCAGAGGAGCCGGGCGGCCCCACAGCCGCTGCCAAGTCTCAGGGAGGGCCAGGCAAGGTGGAGCATGAGGAGAGGCCGCCGCCGCCACCACCGGGGACGCCAAGCCCAGACGACACCGGCGCTGCCGAGGAGGCGAGCCAGGCCGAGCCACCACGGCCCCCACTGCCCCTTGAGGGCCCAGCCGAGCACCCAGCGTCAGTGCCAAACCCCGCCGTGCCTGCCGCCGCCACCGCTGCTGCCGCCGGGGAGGACGCAGCTACCTCAGCCGCTGCCACCGCCGCTAGGGGCCCTGCCTCACCAGGCACGAGTGCAGGCACGGGCACGAGCACTGGCAGGAGCGCACCCACAGCCTCTCGCAGGCCCCGCTCGCTGCAGAGCCTCTTTGGCCTGCCTGAGGCCACAGGTGTCCGGGACCCGCACGACAACCCCGTGCGCAAGAAGAAGGCTGCCAACTTGAACAGCATCATCCACCGCCTGGAGAAGGCTGCCAGCCGCGAGGAGCCCATTGAATGGGAGTTCTGAGGGTGCGGGCTGGGCCGGCATGAGCTCCAGGTCGGGTCTGGTCGGTCTGTCCCCGCCAGCCCTATGGGCCCAGGCCCGAGCCCCGCGCTGCGCACTTAGCCCTGCGGGCCACAGGGCAAAATCGCCATAGGCCAAGGTGCATATAGAAAACAAAGGAGCATTAAGCCCAATCTATGTTGTGTTTTCAAGAAAGAAAACGGAAATGTGTAGTCCAGCTTTTTTGTACCCTGAAGTGTTTTTGTTGTTTTTTGTTTTTTGTTTTTTGTTTTTTTCAATTGCCCTAAGTGATTTCCACAGGTTCTGGAATAACTCTTACAGCTTTTGCCTTGTGCCCTCCTCTTTCGTGTGGGCTTTAAAAAAAAAAAAAAAATCAAACCCACATATAAAAAAGGGGGCTTTTTATCTGCCATCTAATGGCTTCAGAGCGATAATACACTATTATCTTCTTAAACCAGGAAAAGGGGGGGAGGGGGGATTTTTCAGAAAAAAAAAATTAAAAAGTTTTTGTAGCTGTTCAGTTGCCACTAAGAGATTGCACAGTCAAACCGACTCTAAACACACTAGTTTGGATTCCTAAATATTTTCAAGAAAAGAATCTTCTTGTTTGAAACTTTGAATTAAAATAAAAACGCATTTACTCCATATTTTTTAACAGAAAGAAAAGTCACATCAGGAAACTTATCTGATTTTTGTGGTTGCTGATGTAGTGTTTTCTTGTATGTGAATAGAATCCTGACATGTAGTGCACATTGATCCATAGCTTTAACTGACCCAAGGCTTTTGTTGCCCAGGGTCTGTTTAATACACTCCATTCTAGGCCAAATCAGGACAAAAAGAAAAGATCCGAATCTAGGTATTTTATAATCTGCTTTTTAACCTCTAACCGCAGAGCACGCTGATCAGACCTCATATCTCGGAGGCTTAGGAGACAAGTTAGAACTGTAGCATGTACCCATTCATTTTGTTTAATTTATGGTGTCTCCGTCTGTGTTCACGTGTCCACGCATGTGCAAGCATTAAAAGACAGGAAAGAGTAGGCCAACAAGGTTGCAGCAGGCAGTCCTGGGACACAGCAGCCCCACCCTATCTTTCCTTGGCACAGAAGGCACCTCACCTCATACCACTCTTCCTGGGCATCTGATGGACTGAGCCCCCCCAGGAAGATGCTCCCTGGGCCTGGGCAGGGCTGGTGCACACACGCACTCCCTCTTCCCCTTCTTCCCACCACAAGCACTGATGACCCTGTCGAACTCGTGGGAAGCTAGCTTCCTTCCCTACAGAAGAGAGGATGTTGCAGTCTGGGCCCTGCTCCCACCCTATAGAAGAGATGGCCCAAACTCACCAAAACATTGACCGCTCTTTAGTTCTAGACTAGACCATTGTCCCTTCATTCATTTCACCTCTTGGGAAGTTCTTTTATGCACAGTTTAAGGCAGTTTAAGTACCAATTAGAAATCTAACTTGTCTCTGATTCCTCCTGTTGTCTATGTGTATATGCGTGAGAATAGAGGTGGATGAGAGTGTGTGTGCGCGTGCGTGTGTGCAATTTTATACGTCTGTGTATTTTCTTAAGTACCTGTGCACACATAGAGTGCATTACTGCCACCTTTTTCAATAAGCTGTTTTATCAGTTATGGCTTCTACAAGTTTGCTAATTTAGACTCCTTTATTGCCATATCTTTAAACTAACAATAGATGATTTCGGTATATATATTTTTTTTTGCTTATTTATAGGTGCTGTATTTTATTATCTGATTGTTAGGAAGGGATGAAAGGGGCAAATATTCTTTAGAGGGATAGACTGCCGGCAGTATTGGGTATAATTTACAAGATGTAGTTGTCATACTGTATATTACTGATTGAAGACTTTTTGACCGTATTGTGTATCATTGAAACCTTTGTCTTAGGTCAACATCTTTGGATGACATTTTAATGGTGCATTCATTATTTCTTAAGTTTAATTAATATTACTTTTTGATTTGGGGGGTGGGAGGGAGTTCTAATTTTAAAGGTATGCTCCCGCTATTACACCTCAGTGTGCTTGTTATTACTTAACTTGTAGGACTTTGACTGTAAGATGTGAAACCACATTTCTTGCATGATGTTTTAGAAATTATGTATTTCATTTACAGTCTTTTTAACCTGCAACTGCAGCACTTAGTTCAAGTTTTCACAAACTTATGAGTCACTACACTAAAGACAATGCCTTTTCATGAATAAGAAGTTCTCAGAAGGCTCTAGGAGGCTGGGAGGCAGGCCCTTTGTTTGTCTTTGGACAGTTGCATCATTTCTGAACTTGACATCTTGGTTCAGTGAGAAGAGAATCCACGATGGAGGCGCTTTAAGGGGAAGCGGATTAAAATCCAGCTGGCTGCAGGTGCCCTAAGAAGAGCGAGTTGATGCCAGGGACCCTTAGGACAGTGAGGGGCAGAGCCACTGATGGCACTGTGGCTTCGTGTCCACAAAAAAATTCAGGGGAACTTTGTCATCACGTATGATGAACCTCTGAAAACCTAATTTTCATTAGAATGAGAAGCAGGGAGTTAACTGTTAGACAAATATTTTAGTTTCAAAGGCATGACTGTTACTTACCAAGGTGTTAAATCTGAGGAAATTGGAAAGTCTAGATTTGTCTGTCCTTGTGGCCAAGTGGTAACAGTCTGCCACAGCCACTTTGGCTCTTCCAAGCAATTCATTCTTTGTTTTGTATTCCTTTACTTTTGAACTGGTTTATTGTTGATTTCCAGCCTCATTCTGTCTTTTCTGCCAGACTTACATCTGGGTGCTCAATACAATCAGTGGGTTAGATTTTGCTTGCAAATGGATCTGTTTTATGTTTTTTATTATTTATTTTTATTGAGATCCCAACCTTATCTTTTGTGTTAAGCTAGCACTGTCTGTAGTACTTCTAAGATCTGCCACTAAATAACACAAACTGTGGAGGGGGAGCAGCCCCCTCCTCATCGGGCCCCTCAGTTTGAGTCTAAGGGTTCATCTTTCATCTTGATAAGCAATATTCAAGTGCCTTGAACAGCACCCCCTCTGAGTGGCTACCTTCCATTGGCTGGCCATCCACACAGCAGCTCCATGGGCAGCCAATCCTCATCCTCTTCCTCCTCCTTCTCTTCCTCCTCTTCCTCTTTATTCTCTGTCAGCTTAAAGCTGATTTGTACCTCTCCCCACGGGGAAAAAGTTCCATATAAAACACTAATAATTACAAGTTTCATTATACCATTTTAAATGGCTTCTTTTTGTTAATTGGAGGCAAAATTCATAACTAGAAGTTTCTACCATTACTTAGCTGGCTGAGTGGGGGTCCAGCCTCATCAGTGGTTGGGTGTTTGGGTGTGGCCTCTTGACCCTTGCTTCCTGCCCAAGTCCCCTTGTGGCATCTGAGATGTGTGGGTTCTGTTCTAAACCCTGTGTTCTCACTTTTAGTCCAGCCCAGCTCCCAGGTTACCTCCTCTCTGGAACTTCTGGATCAGTCAGGATGTCTGATTTTGGTCCACCAGACTCACCTTCTTTAAAAAGGGTTGTATAGCCACTTAAATGAACTTGATTCTTCTAGGCAGCCTGCCTGAAGAACATTGTGACATGAGGTGGCTTCTGCTCCCAGAAAGATTCAGACTTAGAAAAATTCTCCAAGAAATGCCAAGATCATGAGTCACAGAGCTACTGCCAAGCATGCTGCTCTGGGAAAGCAATCAAGACAAAAGATGGCAGCTCTCAGCCTCCCCAGGACTGCTTCTGGTGCCTCTGAAGCACAAATAGCGCCCTGCCTGACTTCCTTCCTGTTGGCCTCTCTATTTCTTCCCATGTAATTTAAAAAAAAAAATGATGTAGTACAGGCAAACTACAAATTTAGGGATTAGTATTCTATGCTCTTATAATGACTAGAAGAGACACTCCCTAACCCCCAGCCCTGTGCAGATCCAAATGGCCTACACTTATACTATCTGCCTCCTGGCTAGGGCCAAGATTATGGTGCTGCTCATGAGCAAACCAAGCAGGAAGTAGGTTGTATGTGACGTGGAGGAGAACCTCTGGACCATATCATAGGCCTGCCTTCTCATGGGAACTACAGTCATCAGCAAGCTCAGCCTGGGGAAGGTGCCTTCCCAGCTGTAGCTAGACTGGATGTCTGGAACTCACATCTTTTCATGCCAGGGTGATCAGTGAGCTCTGAACAGTCTATGCAATGGCTTCCATTCCTCTGCTTTTAAAAAAACAAATTACCTGGAAAACAGTAGAGGAGTCAGGGTATCTGCGTATGTCCTGGGATTAGCGCAAAGTGAAATGGAGTTGGTCATCGACTACAGCTTGAGCCTTTGCCTTAAATGTAGTGTGACAGGTGCCTATAGAAACAAGCATCTGCTCTTAGTCATTCCAAGGCTAGCCTTCTGCAAGCCAGCTGTGCAGGGGAAGAAGTAACATAGAGGCCAAGGGTGCATATGAGCTTGCTGGGCTCTTAACTGTAGTAACTTAGGTTGGAAATATTCTCACTGCTGGGATGCCCCTGACCTTGGATATCCCCCATCATATTCACACTCCTCATTTGTCCCTTCTACCTCACTTGTGGTCTCCTCTTGATGTCACCTCTCAAGGCCAAGTGGGCTAGGATGTGAAAGAACTTGAAGTATGGCAGACATAAACATCTCAGTCCGGTGGGCAGTTTTGCGTCCTTTGTGAGCATGACAACCAGACAGCTGGACCCTGCAAAACACATGGCTTTTCTTGGCACTCACCTGTTCCTGAGATTCCTGCAGCTGTTTCCTTCATAGCACGGGTGATCTCAGGCCTCAGAGGGCCTTGTTTTTGGTCTGCCTTTTGTGTTCTGCACATTTCTGCACAGCTGTTGAGATCCATCTCAGCCATCCTGTTGGCCACACACCCCCCAGGACAGCCACATGGTCTTGCTTCCCCAGCAGTTCTGTAGTTCCCTGTGTCTCTTGCCTCTGGCACTGGGATCATGACCTTGGCCTCTGAACTTCTTACAAATATCAGATGTCTTAGGATAGGAAAGGACATAGGGCCTTCTCCACACTGCCTGCCAGGTCTTCTTTTCTTCCCTAAAGAATTCTTTAGTTTCTATTCAGTGTCAAAGACAACCAGTTCTTAGGGCTATTTTGAGGTAGGTCTATCCACCATAGTGGCCAGAGTGTTACAATGGGAAAATGGGACTATGCTGAGGCTGTGTGTCATCCTCATGTGTCTAGGTACCTTCCAGGAGAAGCTCCCACTTTGAAATGCTGTGGCGCTCCTACTGTGGTTTCACTGGGTCCTGGACACTGAAAAAGCCTAGTGACCACCAAGGCAAGGCTCCTGCCCTAGCTGGCTGGGTAGTGGCCTGGAGTTCTAACATGACTCAGCTTCTCCTCCCAGGGGCCTGTGGGGCACTTTGGCCAGCACACTTGCATACTAAGAGAGTGGTCCAGTTTAACAATGTCATTTTCATTCCCATCAGTTTTGCCTTTTTTATAGATGAAAACTAAAAGAAAAGCGAAAACTGCTTTCCAAGTAAAATTCCAAAAAGATCCAGCCTGTAAATCCTTTTAGATGGGCTGAAAGCTAAGGGCCAAGACCCAGGGCACCAATCAAGATGTAAGAAGAAGAGGGAGCAGCAAACCACCATGACTCCTGGGCCCAAAAGCCCTGGCAGCCTGCATGCCAATCAGGGAAGTAAAAGGAAAACTTTCCTCCCAACTACTTGACTCCTGAGACCTGCCCCCCTTACCGCACTGCACCCACTGCCCTTTCTCAGCCACCACCCCTCCAAAGATTCCATGTCCGTGCCATCAGTGGCATCTCGAATTTTCATTTTTGGATGAAGTGACATTTAGCTTTAACAAGACATTTCCAAAGCGCCTGATCTCCTCCAAAATGCTAACTTTAAAAAGTTCAGCATTGTAGGCGAAGAATCCTGAAGAGAAGCTAGTGAGAGAAGGACATTAGGCTATGCATAAATGTGCACTTCCTCTTCCTTGTTACTCAACTTTTTAAATGCCTTTAAGTTTAATTGATCATTTTCATTTCCTTGTGTTAAGGAGTAGTCTGCATTACTGTAATTTCTGTAGTGTTTGGGCTTTAATTTCTAACACAAAATATGCTATATGCTATGTATCAAGCTTTCTGTGATCAGAAAGGAAAGGTGCCTTAATTCCCAATGTCACAGCTCTTTCCCTTTGGAAAATAATCAGAAGCACAGTGTACGGAAGCATTGGGACTTCCATTAGCAAAACAGTACACCACGCAGCAAGACGCATTAAGGTGGCAAGGGGCTATTTTTTGTTTTATAATCCCCCCTTTTTTTGTAGTTTGCTTTAAACAGAAAGCACTTAAATAGATGACTATGTGTAAAAGCTGTGCAATAGAAACAATGTTCAGTTTTGAAAGATAGTGCATTGCACACCAAATGAACTCAAAGTAAGCTTTAGACCAGGATGATTCAGGTTGCGGCTGAGTTGTGTTCACTGTAGTCCATGTGTTCATGAACTGAAGGGGAAACAGGGCTGCCAGCCCCTGCAGTGACCCAGCTGCCCCTGCGGAGCTGAGCATGCAGGGTCTGTGGGTTCCGGCTGGATCTGCTGGCCTGGGTGCAGCAGGGGGAGGGTGTCTGTGATTTAGCAGCTGGGAGCCTTCCAAGTGTCTGAGACCACAGCTATCCCTTCCAGCACTTAACCTTGTCTTGTTGAGACGGACTGATTGCTACTGACCCGATAGCGTGCGTGAGGATGATTATAAAAGGATGTTTCCTTAAAAAAGAAAAAGATTTATGTCTATCCTCTCCTATTTATTATTAGGTTAATCATTTAAGTACTTATCAGGAGTGTGTTGTTTTGTATTTTTGTCATTATGAATGCTTTTTGCTATCACTGCAGTGGTTACTGTCCTCTGCTCCCCACCACTACCCCAGAAGCTAAGAGCATGGGGGGGCATGAGGGGGGAGGGACAGAAGGAGGAGGGGTTCTCCAGCAGAGTCAGACACCTGTCTCCTGAGTAGCCACTCAAAACTGGTGGTCTTAACTGTTTAAATGAGTTGGTGAACAAAAAGCTACCACGTTCAGGAAGTGCCAAGGGGCAGATCGCTCGCGAGGAACTGCAAAGGAAACAGGAAAGCCAAGTTCAGTTCCCCAAAGCCTCCTAGAGCCTCTGTTAAGACTTCTGGGTTCATGAAGGTTCGGCGAGCCCTGGTCAGAGAAGGTACAGTGGCCTGACTGAGATCGTCACCTCTGAGCAGGAGAGCCTTTCTTCCAATGCCCACATGGGTTGCTATATTTTAGTTGGTTTCTGTTGTTCTTGGCCTGGCACACACATTTGGTCAAAAGCATCCTGTGAAGTAACTGGTGTTTCTTAGCACCATCAGGGGCTGGAGGGCTCAGCCTGGAAAATCGTGGGGAGGAGCCCCTTTCTCTCCAGTTCAAGGAAACAGAGGAAGCCTGGATGTGGGGAAAGAACTTAACTGTGGTTAGAAGCACAGTCATCAAGACACTCAGTTGCTTGTTCCCCAGGCATGGGAGAGAGGTTCCACCTCCTTGGGGACCCTGCCCACCCCAAGGCAAGCTGGACTGCTGCCTTTGCCCCAAGGGGGTCTCCTATGCCAGACCCCATGGCAGAGCATTTCCTCTCTGCTATAACTTGTCCTCTTGTCTGAAATCTTTGGTGGGGGGAACTCTGGATTTTTGTTCCTGTCTCTGGAAAAGAAGCCCTCCAACAAGGTGATTGTCCCATCTCCCCAAAAGGTTTGCATTTTTTTTGTAATTAGTCTATGCATTTCTCTTTCCCTCCCTCTGCACCCCCATTTTCTGCCTTGTAATAGGTATCTCATGTCCCCTCCTTCCAAGACCATTCAGAAAATGCTGTGCATTTTGGAGACATGAGAATTCATTCAAAATTCTTAAAGCATTTGAGAATAGCTTTTTATTTAAAAAAAAAAAAAAAAGTGGGAAAGAAGACAAGACAAGATGGTTTCCCTCATGTCCCTTTCCATGGAGTAAGAGACCTAGCTCTTTGCATTTGTGCAATAACTACTTGCGGTGAGAGCGGGTAGCGCCACGCTCCTGTCCAGACTACTAACACAGCACAAGACTCGCATCACCGAGCGGTGTCCTCTGCAGACAGCCCTTCATAAGCTCAGCTCCCAGTGCTTTGTGGTGTCTTACATTTTAGCAGTATTTTATATTTTCTGTAACGCACTAAGTCTTAGGTGTTTTCTAGAGCTTGTTTGTTAATACAATCACAGATTTTTCCCCCTTAATCCTCATAAAGAACCAATTGACCAAAAAAGAGAGGAAAAAAAGGCGTCATTTTTGTACAAATAGCTTCAAGAAGCCTCTGTCGCTGTGACTCATCTTGATAACATTTTAGTTCTTGCTCCTTGTTTTCCACATTGAGTCAAAGTTGATCTGGCTGGCGTGGGGGTGGGGGAGACACCCGTCGGCCCTCAGCGTCGTCCCTTCTGTCTTCGGTTAGCCATACGATGTTTGTTCTCAGCACTGTACAACGGTCCCTATATGATATGGAGAAGCAATATCACTGAAACTCACACCATGTATTATTATTATTCACTAGCACCCTAGGTGTGATCATTGAAGTAAATATCTTTTATACAAACACAACAATGTGTGGGTTGTTTTTATTTAAAGTGCTCTGGCCTGAGGAAAAGCAGCAAACACTTTCATTTGGGTTCCAAGGACACCTTGAGAAGGGCTGTCCCCACACACACTTTCCAGTTTGTCGTCTGGCGCGTGACTTCTGGGCAGGTGTTGGCAGGAACTTGGTGTAGGTGCTGGCTAGCCTGCCCTCCTCAGGTCTCTGTCCTCGAAGCACTTCCTAAGA